ACTCAACTTTAGTTTTTTAATTGTACTTGCAAGTAACTTAATATGTCCTTCATATATTTTATTTTTGATAATAAGCAATTCTAAGATATTTAACTTACTACAAAAACTCTCTAAATCTCTCGCTAACGCTTCTACAGCTGATAGCGATCGAGCATTTAGATAAATTATTGACCGCTTTGGTACATATACACAATATCCACTTGAGGACGTAAAAACTTCGTCGTTTCCGTCATATTTGACCGAGTGACTAAAACATAATTCGATAATATCTGGTGGTGGCTTGAGAATTTCCACGGCCAAGGGGTGATCAGTCCCATGACTATGCAAATTTTCAGGCTTACTATAATTCTCTAAATCACAGTTTTCATTACGACTATTTTTTTTTGTTTGTGCTCTAGTAAGTACTGATACTAAGTGTTCACGTATATTTTTTAAATCATCCGATGTCACCGGGATGCGACTCAATGCGTCTGCAGCCGCGTTGTGTCGTCCTGGGACATAGCCTATCTCAAAATCATATTCCTCTAAATATAAACGAAATTTAGTTTGCCTACTGGAAGGATCTGTCATAGAAAATAAATAAATAAGAGGCTTGTGATCGGTTAGAATTTGGAATTTCCTACCATATAAATAAGGTCGAAAATGCCTCACTGCCCAAACTATGGCTAATAGCTCCAAGTCTATAATCGGATATCGCGTCTCAGCGGGCTTTAAACTTCTACTTGCGTATGCAATAACTCTATCATTCCCATTGGATAATATTGCACCTAAACCTGTTCTTGAGGCATCAGTCTGCAATTTAAAAATATTATTTTCAGAAAAATCGGGATAATCCAAAACTGGGGGTTTTATTAAAGCAGATTTTAATTTTTTGAATGCTTCGTCACAATCAGCTGTCCAATTAAATGCAACATTCTTTTTACAAAGTTTATTTAGTGGATGTGCAATTTCAGCGAAATGTAAAATAAATCGTCTATAATAGTTAGCGAAGGCCACGAATCTTCGGACCTCGTCAAGGTTAGTCGGTGTCGGATAACTTTGCAAGGTTGTTATTTTGCTTGGATCAGGAAATATGCCTTTACTTGTTATTTTATGTCCTAAGTATACTATCTCTGTTCGTAAAAATTCACATTTTAAAGGGTTTAGTTTTAAATTAACTTTTCTTAAGCGTTCTAACACAGAAATTAGGTTTTTATTATGATTTTCTATACAATTTCCTATAACGATACAATCGTCTAAATAAATAAAACATTGATTATAATTCAATCCAGACATAGCTATAGTCATCAATCGAGAAAATACGCTAGGACTAGTTTTGAGTCCCATTGGACAACGCTTCATTTGGTATATTTTATCAGCTGTGAAAGCGGTGCACTTACGTGAATCGGGATGAAGGGATAATTGGTACATTCTATCTAAATGGAAAGCAGTGTATTTTCTTGAATTTTCATTTAAATTTAATTGATAATAACTTTGGGACAAATCTAATTTTGAAAAATACATAGAATTTGATAAGGAATCTAAAATATCTGTAATATTGGGAAGTGGAAATTTATCATCTTGAATTCTATTATTTAATTGCCTATAGTCAACGACAAACCTATACTTCTTTTCATTATTTTTGTCGGTCTTTTTCGGAACAAGCAAGACGGGACTAGACCACTCCGAGGTGGATTCCTCAATAATATCGTTGTCTAACATATCCTGTATTTGTTTACGTAACTCTGGTTTTAAAGAGTGTGGTATTCTGTAGGGTTTTATATAAACAGGAGTCGCATTATCCTTTAAAGTAATTTTATGCTCCATTAAATTAGTGACTGACAGTTTATCACCTGGGAGATGAAACACGTCCGCGTACTTAGCGCAAATAGACTCAATGCTAAGTCGTTCATCTTTGTTTAAATAACCTAGGTTAAGAAGCTCAAATAATGTTTTTACACGATTTACGGAAATTTCCCTTTCCGAAAAATTACAAACATCGAAATGATGCAAACTATATACTTCTAAATGAGAAAAATCATAAATTAGGTCATTTTCCGTCGTATTTAATATTCTAATCGGGATAAGCCCGTTTCTAGGCCTCGACAAAACACCTGCAATAAATACTCCCTCTCTTATTTCATTCGCAAGGACGACACAATCGTCGGTTATATTCGTAGGTATGAACTTAATAGTTTCACACCTCGCAGGTATGTTGTGTTTATACCTGTTATTTATACACATACTTATCGATTTAGACGACTGAGTTAGGCTTAAAATGCCTTTACCATAATCAATTAACGCTAAATATTGTTTTAAAAAGTTATCACCTATTATTCCATCTGCAGAGCATGACAGGTTCTTAAATACGTAAAATTTATGTCTAAAAGTCATACTGTTACTACTTAATTCTAAATAAATGTAACCTTCTGATATTAACCTACCGCTAACACCTCTAATAGTTAATCTTTCGGGAACAATTTTATTTTTCAAATCACTAAATACCTTAGCTAAATATTCATACTTAATTACACATAAACTGGCACCAGTGTCTATTAATAAATGTATTACCTTATCTCCTAAACTAAAAGCTACCGTACTCGAAGTATTATAATTGAGAACTACATGCTCGGTTTTCGTTTGAGGAACGAAAAAACTGACTCTGAGGCTGCCTTACCTCAGTGTCGCAGTACGTATGGTGGACACGGGAATAGCCTCGTGTACGGGGCTGATACTGCGCGCCTGGCGCTGACCAGCGCGCGGCTGGGGAGGGTGCACCTCGACCTCGAGCGGAACCACGTTGCGGCGCAAACGTGCGCGGCGCGCTCACATTATGCGACTGGATCGGGTTACCGTATTGAGCACGCGAGTTACTATAATAATTATTGCCAATATTTCTACCGCGGAACCCTTTATTAATAAAATGAAATGTTTTCGTGGACTTAGGGTGGTGACGAAAATTCATAACTTGTTCCCCACTGGTAGAAAGCGTCTGCTCGTCTATAGCACTACGGATTGCCTCAGGAAGAGAAAGAAATTCCTTTGATGCAATAATAATACTCAATCTAGAGTTTGCCAAACCATCGGCAAAGCGTTTTATAGCGATCTTTTCATTAATTGGTCGCAATACGTCATATTTTGAACTATCGCCATCGGCCTGTGCTAATGTCAAATTAGAGAAGATATCTTCTAGTTCATTACCGAATGCTTCTATTGACCTATTTCCCTGTTTTACATTTTGTAACCGAGACTGAAGAGCGACTGCCGATTTTTTTTGTACTAAATACTTTTTCATGTCACTGAGCAATGAACCAACTGTTGTATAGCTACCGCGTAAGCGAAGTTTCGCGCTAGGAGATAATCTTGTTTTTAATACAAAATCTATAAGTGAATTTTTCGATGTCTCATCAAGTTTAGAACTATACATTTCTATACCGTCGATTAATTGTTTGGTGACATGTTCCTGACCAGTCATTATGGGAAGTAAACTAATAGCCGTTTTAAAGTCAAAGGCCATTGTATCTGCCATTTTTGTAGTTTTAGAACTATCGGGATTTCTAGTTGAAAAAGTAACTAATTTATTTATTTCACTATAAATTAAATGAATATTATTTACTATAGAATTAACTTTAATAAGATCTTCGGCACTTATCTCAGAATTATTAATATTAGCTTTAATTTCACACAAAATATACTCTAGTTGCAAATAAATGACATTGGCTTCTTTTAATTTAGTTTGACCGATTTCTTTCTTTCTACGTTCAGGGCCTATTTTACTTAAATATACTTTTATTTCCTGTAACTTACTATATAATTCAACTAATTTATGAGACATAACTATCTATTACTTCTAATTTAATAAAATAACTCATAATTGAATTCTAGAAATAGCAGCTAAATTGTACCTACATATATTTTCTTCCAATTCACTTGCTGACGTCACGAGCTGCGGCGGGCGGCGTTCTTGTGGCGGTCACGTTCTGCTGACATCAAACAACGTGGCCCGTGCTGCTATTCCTGTTGACGGCCGGGACGGGGACTTCCTAATTTGATGGTCTTGCTTGCATTTCCAAGGTGCTGTGGTTGAGCTCCCTTCTCAACGAAAGAATAGCATTTCTTCGGCACTTCTTGTACAATAGGTATGCGGCAGCGACGAACAGAATGACGAATAGCGTGATGAGCAGGATCTCGGTAAGGTTCAACTTGGTCTCCGTTACTTGAGCGCTTCCACCGGCGTTTTGAGCGATGATAATTTCTTCTTTGGACTGTGAGCTACGGCACATTGTTATTGGTAATTGGCGCGACTGCCCCAAAAATAAGATTCTTCATAATAATTTTCAATCTTCAAACTTCTTCTTACTTGACGTTCAGTTCAGTTTCAATATCTTCTTTCTTCAATTTATTTCTATAATTTTTCTTCCAAATTTCGCAGGGTCGCCATGTGGTATGTTGGGTGATGGCGGCAGGTTATAATAAATACAAAGACGTAGATAGGTTGGTGTCCATTTATTGAAGAAGGCTTAATGGTACAAAACATACTTATTTATAATATTAGTGCACTACGTAGTTACACACACACACACTTATAAAATATAACACACAATATTATTACAAAACATCAGCATTTCACGTGGCCTACTTTCGTGTCATTCAATGTTGCGTTGTATTATTAATACATATTTATTAAATTATTTTCATACTATCACAAGTCCGTCGGTTCGAATCCTAGTATTTAATCTCGAACACACTCATTTATTCCTAAGTCGTGCTAACATAATATCTTAAATTGTCCCTAGTCCCTCCCTGTGCACGTCTAGGACAACTAGAATCTCTATCCTCATCATAGTCATAGACATCCTATATCTTTGAGTCTACTCCGCTCTTACCATTTTATCAATGATAACCATTTCTATACTTACTAGGTCTGAAGAAATTTAATGTTCTATAAAATTTAATTTCACGCCATGATTTGCTCTATTTCAACAACATAATTAATTTAACTTCACACATGCATCGACTTTTTAGTTCAATGTGTAGTATGAAATGTAAATCTTAATTTCCAGTAACTATAGTTATGGGAGCAGGTCAAATAGGAGGAATAGCAACACTACGTAAAAACTTTGTTATAATGATACATATATAATCAAAGTTTGAGTATTAGTTGATATGTGAAGCAATGTATTCTATTTATTACTAAAATTTATAATATATAAAAATCTCTTTCTTTCAGTTGATATCGACTTTAAAAATGCAGCTGGATTTCACGGTGTTCAAGCTGATCAGTCTGAGGGGCAATTTATTGTGAGTATTTATTACAAGATTGTGTTAGATTAGATTAGATCGTTAGATTAGACTAGATCCACATTTTGGAAATCTATTATAAACAAGGCTGATCTTGCTTAATAAACTAGTTATTATTATGTTAATTTGAAATCAAATTCATAATCCCTGAAATGGAATTCTTTTTTGCGCAAGAAATACACATATTGGTGTCAATTCTGGCGTGCATCTCTAAACTTAAAACTAAATTAAAGGTCAGTCTCACCTTTTCATTCTGTATAGACAAGGACAAGGATGCACTATTGTCAAATTTAAGTTTAGGTTTAGAGAATCATGCCAGAATCGACATCATTATGGTGTTTATTTATCTAGAGCACGTCGATTATCGTATAAGGGCAGTAACAATTAAGTTTCAAAGCGATATAGTAACAACAAAAGCGATAATGGTATGTTCAAGTAAAGTGTTCGTGTATACGGACCTGTAGGTATGTATAGTGTACAGTGAGTGTAGTGTAGTTAATATGGCGTGGTTACTATAATAGAACTGTGTGAACTGTGTGCTGAATGAAGAATTGTCAGGCGTGAAATGGAATTATAATTTCGAATCCCATCTCGACACCATATTATATATTGATCGCCAGCTGCAGAGTCAAATGGTGTCCATCCACTAACTAAATAATTTCGTTCTATGTATGTGTTTTTAATATTTGCAGGTTTATTACTTATCTCACGCTCTACTGTTCTGCTTAGGAGCATTGATCGAACCTCATGTAGTATTAACACCAGCAATATGTGTTTTTGGAGAGAAATTTAAATTTGAAGTATATGCTGGCACGCACAAATTTTTAATAAATACGGGAGTAAGCAGAAAAGCACGTCACGTAGCTATTCACAAAGGTAAAAATGAATTTGTTTAAGTAAGTAAGTCTGTTTGCGACCTATTTAACTGAGTATTGATTTAGAGAAATATTATGATAATGATATTTTCGTATTTAATCTATTTCAGGATACAATAATACCCAGAAGTTTAAAGAGTGTTCATCTCTAAATCTAGCATTATTAGTGTTGAACAAACCCTTCTCGTTTCACGAGTATGAACCTGGAGCTGATTTTATCATAAATAGATTACGTTACGGTTCAAGCTCAAAACTTACTCCACGTGCATTAGAAAATCAGAAATGCCATTATTATGGATTTGGTAGCAGGAGAAATGTAAGTTTTTATGATAAAATAAGCCTTTAACCCCATAGGAGCGTTTTTATTAATCGATAATATTGGATGCGTTATGCATATTAGCGATAATGCGCCCCACTTTTATTGCGTCTTTATTATCGCAGCAGAGTAAAGCTACTTCCGTAGCCGTTATAATACATAATGTAGATACTAAAAACAGATAGGGGGGGTAAGGTATCCGATATTATACACTAAAGAAACCCTTAAATAGTTTACTAAAGTTTTTTAAAGTGAAACTTTAATTGAATCGCAATAAATTTTTTCGTCCATCTTAAGAATCTCGCATTACATTCTTATTTGTTATTAAAAAATTCAGACCTTATTTAATAATAAGCATCGGTGGTTCAGTGGTAGAAAGCTAGCCTGCTACGCGGGCAGCCCGGTCTGCGATTCTCAGCCGAGAAAGACTATTTTTTATTACTGATTTCAAGTTTCACTTGCATCGAGGTTTCATAAACCCACACCATTTTTTCTTAATGTCAAGAAAAAGAGTTTCTGCTATAATTACTATTTTAATATATTTTTACTATTTTATTATTGAAGTTAAAACTTCTTTAGCACTATTGTGATTTGAGATTCGATGAAACGGAAGTAGAGTATTTGATACAAGATATGTATCTGTAATTTTGTCACTTATCTCAAGAGACGGATACCCAAACGGTAACGGTCTTGGGGTCGACATCAACTGTCGGTGGTGCGATCCTGAGCTCAGTAACTTTTCTTAATTGTTTTTTTTTTCTTTTATTAAACTATTATTTAGTTTTTAAAATAATTCAATTATAGAATATTTAAATTTGCCCAGGATTTTACAATACCTGAAACGCACGCTCACCCGCGTACCTTGTTTCCACCCAAGACATCTTAATTTTTACTTCTACGCAGTAACGGTCAGCGCTTGAGTTTCATGCCGCGACTTATATTTGTTATCGTTTTGAAATAATAAATTGTGTTTTAAAAAATAAGATAAATATGATTTGTGTAAATGGAGATAATACAACGAATAAGAACATATTAAGAAAATTTTACTATAAATAATTCAATAAACTTTTTAGTGGCCAGCATTCTAAAATAAAAGTTTTTACTGTGTGACAATACTTATGACCTGACTGTGTTTAATATGCGTCTGCAAGTCGGTAATCAAATCCTACAAGTTAAAGACTTACTTTTCGGCTTCCGATTGACCTTATTAGATCAGATAAGATTGTAATATTTTTTATAACATCGAGCTGATCTAATGATGTAGTCTGGAGGTGTCTATGGTAGCTATTTAATAAAACAACGTAACAACCATATCTTGTTAAGGCTCGTTTTATTTGGCTTGACAAAAATTTCACGATTAATTTGATTTGGAAACAAACACTGTCAATATTGATTTACTAAAATGCTTACATGACTGTATACTTTAAATTTCAAAAAAGTTAGCCAGGGTACGCGTAGCCGTCTACGAGTTGCTATGAGTATGAAATACATTACTTGCTCAGTGCGTATGGAGAGCACTGTCCTTACGGAACTTTTTAACTCAACCAGTTGACAGTTCTATCCACCTTCATTATTGTAGGGGGTGGCCCTACCTAGGTTTTATTGTTCAAAGCATTACTATACACATTTTATTTATTTACAGGGGTATCTTCTACCGCTTCTTATAAATATGCGGAAAGTGGAAGTTGTTATTTTACCACAGGAACGTTGCCTGCCGATGTGGAACAATGAAAATCAATTACTCTGCATTCAACAAATCCCGTGCAAGGTATAATTTATTTTAAAATTAGGACCTATATATGAAATATAAATTACAAATTGGTATGATCAAAGCATTTACGAAACCTATCAGACATTAAAAACTTAATTCAAAATAATAATCATATAGAGCGATATTTTTAGTAGTGCAACTACTCTACGCTAGATGGCGTACTATAAGTAAATGACGCTTACTAATGATTAATGAATGATATCTTATTAATACTCATTTATTAAATATAATAACTTTATATCGTCTGATAAGTGCATTGAAATGAACTGAGTTTGTAGCTCAAATAGTTCCTTCTTATACATAGCTGTTGTTTAACTATACTATATATGTAAAATTATTATTATTATTCATGCACTCTACGTCACTGTTTGCATCGAATTATTTAATATTATTTTTTCCAGTCGGAAAAATTTGGAGCTTTATGTCCTGTAAGTAAACAACAAATAATAATATAACCGTAAACGTAGTAAAACGTAATATTAACGTAGCATGGGTGATCGAAAAATATTGCTAAACTAAAATATTGTGCTTACCATTGCAGGATGATGTCGGTTCGATAATAGAGTGTTCTGGATTCGCAGTGGGCATGATGGTATCTCGTTTGATAGATCGACCGTGTGGAGTAGGATTCCTTGATTTGCAGAAAAACAACAAGTTTATAACTTGCGGCGTAGACGACTCAAGAGATGTCATCACCCATGACGATGACATGGTGTTCGACTTTGGTACACGAGTTCAGATGATTTCGTCTCTTGCAACCGTGCCTACATCGGCAGAAACAGAGGAAACTTTTGAAAATGAAGATACTCCCACCACAACAGCAAAAACCGACACAACAACAGCTCAATCTAATCGCCGGTCACACACTTAGTATCAATCTATAAAACTACTTTAAATTATTAAACCTAATAATAAAATTATTATACTTATTGAATTAGAAGATTTTATAATTGTAATCCTCCATTCCCAAATAAGGAGCCCTATGTCGAAAGTAAGGGTACTGCTGCAATGGCCCATCATGGAATGGGTGACCAAAATTTCTACACTTTCTCGAGCTCTTCCATATTAGGAAATCACGTTACCGTTGATCCCGGCTGTATTGGGCGTACTATACCCCTAGCATGAACCATTATCGAATTCGAATAGTTTATTATCTGTCCTTAAGATTTTTATCTTCTTACTAACTTGTGTTCCTACTAGTTCTTTAAACAAAACATTCATATTTTTTCTAGAGAAAATAAATGAACGTTTTTGGTCGGGTTTATATAAATGAGGTTTGAATTACAGTTTGTCTTTAGAGTCGTGACATGAATGTTTGAGGAACTAACATTATTCCTGTGTCTGGCTGGCAACACCAAACTTATGTACATTAGCTGTCATCGAGTTTCAGTTGTGGAACAGTTTTCTTTTTGTATTTTTTATTGTTTGGATTAAACTGTAATAAATAAAGACGAAACTACGCAGAAAGGCATAGATGAATGATTGGTCTCGCTTCACTAGGGACACGAAAAAAGTATCGATACTTTGTGGTATCGAGTACTTTTCCTTTCGATACCGATACTTTTGTACTCGATACTTTGTATTCGATACTTTTACTTAATGAGTACGTTTTGGCAAGTATCGATACCTTTAAAAAATTGTGTGTGTCAGCTCCGACGCACGACCGGAGCTTACACTCTAAAACGATTGTCTTTGAACAGACACAAAACAAAATCAAGTCCGAAGAAGTCGGTTACAAGTAGAGATACCTCAGGAATCGTCCCATGGTTTCGACTATCATAGGTTCCATGTCACACATTTTATCATCTAACATCAGCGATATTCATCATATATTTTATTATGTATTTCTGGAAACACACAATTTCAAAAATATCATACACTAGTCATCATTTTGTAAATATGTATTATAATTCCTTCTGTACTGAAAATCACTATTCCAGAGTGCTGGACACTAACCGGCATTTCTCTATATTCTGTTAATTATTTGTTTTCATTAATTTTACTCCGATTTTATCTATTTTTAGTTTATTTATTTTATTGACATTTGTGACAACTTAATGTTTTTTATCCGTTGCCATGGCTAAAAGTGAAAGGTGCGCAGATGAGGTTGCGCATAAAAACGTAACGAGGTCATTAATGTCATTCATCGATAGATTTTACTCCTCACATTTTCTCATACCGGGCCCCTTATACAGGTTGTTACAGAATTCCGAAATAAAATTTGTAGGTATGTATTCCGAATGAAAAATTTGTAGGTATCTGAGCGGGGCGCAGGGGCGCCTGGGAGAGAGGGGGGGGTCTGTTTAGGTAGTAGTAATCGTACGCATTTATAGGGTTGTCATAGGCAGGTGTAAAACGATATTTTTATTAATTTAATTAGAAAATAAAATTGGTCTGGAAGGCGTCAAACTTTCGTAGGTAATTCTATACAAGGAACACAACCAAACCCTAAAATTATTCTGACTTTTGTCACACCCTGTATATGCAAATCGATTCTTAAGGAGTAAACTCCAAAAATTTGGATAAGCGCCTCATATAGATGGCCACGCCATCTTGTTAAATCATAGCAAACCTTCTAAAACGTTCCATGGGGTATTTGACAAGTTTTAGGCAACGATCTCCAATTATTGACTAATGTTTATGGAGTCCGTAAAAAGTGAATATTCATCATTTTGTCGTGTGTTTCAGTAAAAATAACCAAATCATAAACTCCATTTTCAAGTTGCCGCGAAAACGTTTCTCTGGACAATATGGCGTCTTACTAGTGTGTGACGTCACACGACTGTTATTAAAACGTCAAACGATACAATGTAATGTCACTTTGACCGGAAGTTTACTTGCGTGTGACGTCATTTTAGGCTCCGCCAATCCCAAGCGTTTTGGGTTACGTGACAATAGATAAGAAAACTAATATCTTTTTCGTTATTTTGCCACTTTATTTTTAATACTGTCAAATGCCCTATTGCGTTGTTATAAAGTCAGTAACTGACATATTCAAATTCTTTCCAATCTGTGACTGTGTTTATTTTGAGCTTTGTTTTGTTTCAAAGTTATTTATTTAGCGACCATATTGTTAGGAACTGTGATTAATTCGCCGTTTATTGTGCTTTTCGCTTGACTGTATTTGATCTATTCAAGTGTAACACTATTATTCTGTCTGTGCACCTATTTGAAACCACCTGAAAAAAAGACGGACGTAACCTCTTCTATAATTATAATCTTGAATGAAGCATGCCAATTTCACCGTTAACTACGTGTCAGATTCAAGTTAACATAAGTGGGTATAATGTTTTTTAATGATTAAAATTCAAGAAAAGTAATTTTAATTTGAAACAAATCTGAAAAGTTTCATACTTTTAAATTGTTTAAGATTTCGATCTTTTTAATTAACATTTTAATTATGAATGTAATATTAATGAACACTTTTTTAGTGTCAGAAATCACAGCTATTTTCTTTTCATTATATAATACAGCAATTTGTTTTTTTTTTTTTTTTTTATTTGTGAATTTACATGTCCTTTTTTTAACCGACTTCAAAAAAGGAGGAGGTTCTCAATTCGTCTGTATGTATAATATTTTTGTTTTGGTTATACGTCCTATAAAAAATTCGATTGTTTTCCTTTAAATTTTAACACCGGGGAGGGGGTTGCTCATCAGGCCACAGAGGCTCCGATAAGGCCTTATGAAATGTACTCGATACTTTGAAGTATCGATACTTTTGTTTCGATACTTTTACGAGTACGATACTTTTTTACCGATACTACTCATGAGTACAGTATCGATACTTTCTATTCGATATCGTGTCCCTACGCTTCACTCGACTAGATACCGCCGGCGTACTTGTCTAATGCGGCAACAAATACTATGCCGAAATCGGCATACCCGATTTACTTTCACCGAGCTAGTCAACCTGACAGTTGTGTAAGGGGTGTACGTAGTGAATGTTTTATTAAAATTTGGTGTTAATCGAAAGTAAAATACCAGTTTATATAGTGAAATAATACAGCAATAAATAACAAGGACGCTGGGATCACATAACATCAGTAAGTATAGTAAAATTTCGATATTTCAACATAAAATAACATGGACCCTAAACGTCATTCAGGTGTTGCCGCGTATGCAAGAATCAAGTCCCTCCCTATGGTTGAGATTTTTATTTATAATGTGAATTTATTGTTAGTGTATTTTATTATTGAACCTATGTTATTTAAACTTACTATTAAACTTGCAAATAAACTTAACCTTGTTTTATATTATTCAACCTTTATTTTTTGTAATCTACCTTTAATGCCTATGATATTCTGTTATTATTTTTATTAACATTTTTTGCAACACATTTGCTTGTAAACTGACTTTTATTATTCACACAGTTTTTAGTTTCACAATTCAGCATTTTAACTACCATACTTGTTTACCCGTACGGATCTACGCTTGTACAATTTCCAACTAGTAGCGTATTCTGTGTAACACTAAAAATGGAAAATGAAATAATTTTTATTAAAAATAAAACCGACTTAAAAAAAAAGATTTATCGCCTCATATACTTGAAGTCGATACCAAGGTATGTGTTTAGCAGGGAGATCATGACAATAATAACGATCGACTTCACCGTAAATCTTATTTTACATTTTCAGTATTTTTGAAATAGGTTCTATTTTTATTAAAAATTATTCCTGTGCCGTTATTGAACCTGTAAGCGCATTTTTTATAATATTTGCCCAATTTTAATTCAACCCCGCCGGAAATACTTATCGTGGCACGAAACGCGAGTGATAGGCTGTTGCTGCCGATTGATTTATGAATATATAGTAACTTGACGACATTTCTAAAGCGACCTTTTGATGGATATATTGGCCGAAAGTCAAAAGTATTGTCACCAACCGATTTTGAAAACTTTTTGAAGGTAGCTCCGTAATGTCAAAATACTTGGCAACAAAGGAAGGTCAGTTGAACTTTATAACAGTTACTAACTACAAGTTTGTTTTTTCGTCGGAATTGTGTTGAAAAACATCGTATGCAGCTCTTGTGCATTGATCATTACACACTCGGCTTCCTTACCGAGTTACAATAATGTCTCGTTTATAGTGACCAACTTATCACACTTGAATTACTGTTATAATGTACAAGTAAATAAAATAAGTTGAGGCCTAAGCATTTTTTGAAGAAGAAACCTACGCCTTGTCGTATCAGTACACTAAAATATTGATATATTCGCATTTAATTAAGTGCATCTTCTTCAAGTATTTTATGAGCTGTATTTATAACCTGGTACATATTAATTATAACCTACAATATTTTCCCTACTACTTGGGTAGCAGTTGAACAGCTGGCTACACGATTTATGACATTTGATAGCATCATTGCAAATTGACATACACACACTACAATAATGAGTTGCCGCATTTTCGGAGCTGTTGTTTTTTGCTAGCGCGGTATCTAGTTGAGTGAAGCGAGACCAATCATTTATCTATGGCAGAAAGGTATAAAAATGAGTAAAGTAAATCGGAGTGGCACGCGGGAAGTGATTTTTAAAGTTTTCCAGCGATGTTTCGAAGACTACCAAGCTGGACGAATTTTGTGGGATTTGGATGATGTTTATGGGCGAACAGCAACTATGACGGGTATGTAATCGTGTAACTATTTGTTTGTAATCTGCCTGAAGTTATAAATTTACTCAATTTACGATTTTAGGTTAGATTGACATTGTAAAAAGGTAATATTGTAGTACGACCATTTCTTTTGATACGTTATTATGGTTCAACTCGGTCAGGTTTTCTACCAATTTTGAATTAATTGCTTCATGTCAATAAGTTATTGTTTCTATTCCGTTACATAATTTTTACTTTTTTTCAGTAAAATCAGAGAGTCGGATAGTCAACGAAGGTTTTAAGAATGATGGAA